CTCCAGGCCTGGTTGGTGCTCTCCGTTGGCAAGTGTGGGGCTGATTTCCCTCATTTCTACCACCTGATCAAACAAGAAATGGTTTCAGTAGCAAGAACATGAACATCAGCTTCGAAGCCATCATCTGTGCAGGCTTCTGCTAAGTTTGATTTAATTGTGAAGAGAAGCTGGGAGGAGAAAGTAAATTAAGAGCTGCTCAGGTTTCTCTAGCTACAGCATTGTCTTCAACAAAGACAAGAGTGGGCCCAGTTCTTCCACCAGCCATGGCAATGAGCGCCAGCTGTGACCTGTGAAACCCCTCCTCTGAGTTTGTACACTAGTGACAATGGGATTGGGACAATGGGACAACTAGGAAGAGATAACCTTAAGTAACCTATTGCAGCAGACACTTAATTCCACAAAAAGCGGGTCCACATGTACAGCTATCAGATTGCAGAAGATATCAGATTTAGCTTTTCTCCATAACATTCCAGCACACTTTGGGTTACAAGAGAGCGAGCAATGCTTGTCTCAAGGGACAGATCTACTGGCTACTGCATTTGACCCTGTCTTCACCTGTTTTTTTCTAAAATTTCTAAAAATCTACTGCATTTCTAAAATGTACTGTATCTCATCCTGTCTTCACCTGGTTCCTTACCCGTTCAATGGGGATTTCTTCTGAGTGGCCTCGTTCAAAACCTGGTGTCCTGGTTTCATAAAACACATCCTGGGTGCGTTGGGTCCCCCAAGAACTGGACTCTTTGATCCCACCCTCTGGGGCTGGTCTGTCAGAAGGAAAAGAGGAAAAAAGATTAACTCGTTTGCAAAGCGATTTTGCTGACCTTATTGTGCTGCAGGCAAAGCACTCAGGTACCCTTTGAGGTTTTACTTATGAAACGAGTTGCAGGATAGGCACAGCTGCTATCTGGTGAAGCTATATGGTCCCCTGGGTTTTGCCAGGACTACTTTCTATATAGCCTGAAGATCCCATGAGCAACAAGGAAACCAAACCAGTTGGTACATTATTTTTTTTTCCAGTAACTGAGGAAATCAGCTTTTGCAGCTCAAGTGCTGATGAAGCAGAATGAATAATTTGGGGGTTCAGGCAAATTATGTATGCAAGACCAGTTAGTCAAATAGCCTTAATGACATTGGTCAAACATCTGTGGCCATCTGAAGTACATTCACTGATGTACAGATGGCGTTGGGTTTCACTGTCAAGTCTGATGTTGGTTTCCCCATCAAGGTTATTCAGGACATTTAAACCTCAGGTGTCTATCATTAAAAATCCACAGCACTTGTGACCCAGAAGAAAGTCACCTGAAGAAGAGCAGGAAATGGAGAATCGATTAGGGATCACTGTTACTGTAACTGTTTGGTAAGCTCTCTGTGGAGGTATTGTTTTGCCCAAAGAGAAAGAGCCAGATTCTGTCCTGGAAAATCTCAAGAAGCTCCTGCTGTAACCAAGTGCTATGAGCTTGAGGGACTTCTTTGATCCCAAGGACCTTTTTACTCCTGAGAACTCACTGGTGGTTGGTAGGTTTGGGCTTGCCTGGTTGTTTTGCAATGGTCCCAAATTCCTGTAAGCAAACTCACACTTACAACTAGCCACAATGGAAAGCTCTCCAATTAAGACTCAAAGGACACCATTAAGAAAACATGCAGCTCTTAAGAACCCAACACTACTACCACATGGATAACTGCACCTGAGGCAGCAGTGGGAAGCAGAGACGCAGAAGCATTTTGGTAGCCACTGGTGGGAAATTGTCCCAGCCATGGCGTGAAGGGGCTGCTGGTCTTCGTGTCACCAGCGGTGCTGCCCCACCTCCAGAGGAACTGAACCAGCAGTGGTTGGGGTTGATGCATACACCCAGCATGCCTCTTCTCTGCGTTACGGCTTTGCTGAGGAGGTCTTGGGATACTTACAACGCGCCCCCGTTGTTGAGTGAGGCTGAGCTTTTCTGGCGAAGGAACGCCTTTGCGTTGTTGAATGCTGTGGACTGGGTTTGTTCCAAAGTGGCCTTCAGCGGGTGGAAGAGTGACACCGGTCCAGGCTGTGAAGCACAAGGAAAGGTTGTCAGAGACAGAGCCATGTATGGAGGAGATGGCCTGCAGTATGTGTTCTAGTTAAGCAAATGTCCACTTTGTCACCCTGAAAGATCAGCCCAGCAGAAAGCACACCCCAGCCTTCCCATAGCTGTAAGAGGCTTTCAAGGACAGTTGCTGCCCTCAGCTTTGCACAGGCCAAAATTGTGCTGCAATCCCCCTCCCCTCTCACAAAGTAGATGTGAAAAATATCAAAAGATGCGACCAATGGGGATGTGCAATTCAGGTGGCACATCGTAACACTGGGTCTGCTCAAGCCTCCCATCTGCAAGACAGACAGATAAGCCATGCTGGAGATCAGCTGGATGATCGTCCTGAAGCCAATAGGTATTTGTCCTGTCAGAAGTCTTTGGGGTTTCAATACCAAGCCAGTTGCATGGAAATATTTTCAAGAAATTGTAAAAATCTTCAAATCTATTAAAGCCAAAATTATTTTGAATGATTCCCATTTTCCAAAGCAACTTCGACATTTTAGAGCCAAACTATCATCAGCTTTCAATAATTTGTTGGTGTCCCAAAGAAATCTTTTGGTGTTCCCCAGTCCCTAGGCCACTTCTGAAAACAGGACTTAGACTGCCAAATCTTTTTTTTGGAAAAGATCTTTCCAGACTACTGAAAAAGGCAACCGCACCATTTTTAAAAATTATTATTATTTTTTGAGAAAAAGAGACTTTCAGGAGAGGTTTCCATTTTTGAGACAGCATTTTCAAATCCTGCCCGAAGAAGCATCCTGACTTTCTAGGTGAAACGTGCCAGTGACTTTCATGAGAGCTGTGCGACGTGGGCAAAAAGGCTGCCCAAGAGGAGGACAGAGAAGGACACCTTTTAGCTGAGTACCTGGCACAGGCCTCCGGGAGGCTGGTGGACTTGTTCCCTGCTGTTCTTATTCTGCTTGTAGAAGTCGAATATCATCAGCGCTGCATAGACCTTCCCCACAGTCATCTCATCGGCTGCCAGAGGATGGTGAAACCCAGCAGAGATGTTCAGGTGAGGAAAGGGAAAGGATCAGGAGAAGAATAAGCCAAAGAGCACAAGGAATAACAACAAACGGGCATGAAAAACAAGTGGGAAGAAGAGGCGACATTAGAATATAGAGGCAAAACAGACACAGAAAGGTGGAGGAAAGAAAAAAAGAGCAAGAAAAGTTACAACGGACGTCTTCAGATCTTTGCCTGTTGCTGCCTTTAACATCAGAGAAGGATGGCCCCTGTCTCTAGCGCTCTGTGGCAAATATTCACAGAGAAAAAAACAGGCAGGAAAACTCTACGGCATTGTAAGCATTGCTGACAGAAGAATTGCTAAATTAATACCAGATCCACAGCCAGCTCTTTATCAACAAAGAAGCCTTATTCCTATTTCTTTGCATTACAGTCAACTGGGCCATAATGGGCTAATATACATTTAAAGAGTATTTCATTTTTCCAGATGTCTTTTTTCACCCTCACAGCCACGCTACCAGCCCTTCCCTGCACGGCAGCTGAGCACTTACTGCAGAGCAAAGAGTTAAAGCACCAGATATATAGGCATCAAGAGAGGAGAGGAGGAAAAGACTTAAGCAGTCACTCCCCATTTGTCTTAATTAACAATGCCTTTATTGCTCTGCACTGTTTCTCATTAATCAGAAACCCAGAGCCCTTGTCTCGGCCAATCACGATAATGGCAAACTTTCCATTTTCTCAGCGCATTCACCCAGGACATCATCAAGTAACACCGAGGCTTTCAACCCCAAAATACCTCACTTCTGATTCTGTAAATTCTCAGCAAACTTTAATTTTCTTCTCCTGGTTTTCTGGAGCCCAGATGGTAGAAATCGCTCTCCTGTCCTGTAAGGCACAGGCTGGAGCTATGGAAAAGCTCTGGAAAAGGCCACACAGGGCATCAGTCCCTTCTTGGCATGGGTTTTCTTTTTTTCTAAGTACAGGAAATCTACTGTAGCATAATGAAACACATGCCCAGATGTGACCTCAGCTTCCCTACTCCTGACGTGACCATGGCATGGAGATGCAGGCTGTGAACCCCACAGAGAAGATACCTAGGAGCTGACCTACACTTGGTTTCTTTGCTGCACTCTCTAGATGACTGTGCACCTAGGTGGGGCTGGGGACAGAGCAGGCAAGGAGGGAGAAGCCTGCTCTGGGCTTCTTAGGCGGCTGGGGTGGGTTGGGTGCTTGCTGATGAACCACTTACGTTTGTGAGGAGGCACCAGCAGATCCAGAGTCTTCTGGGACAGATTGGGCCAAACTAGCGAGATCTCCTTTCGCAGCTCAGCGTCACACTGGTGCTGTTTAACACCCCCTGCAGAAAGGGAGAGAAAGGGTCACATGAAGAAGAGCCAAAACCCTTGTCCTTTCAGCGCATACCACCATTTACACAGCAAGCACAGGAGAAGGCATCTCCCCCGCTCTCATTTCTTGAGAGCACCAAGCCAGCACCAGCCACAGCAGCTGTCGCAAGGGGAACTGGTGACCTCCTCCGTGACAAAACTGTGTGAACTCAGCAGGAATCTACTTGCTAAACCTCTGCTGTCACTTGGGGCTTAAACTTAAGCTCAGACTTATTCTACCTAACTGCTCGTTTGGGGTGCTGGATAGCGTCAGCAGAACCGCAGCACACCTCCTGGGTGTGATGCAAAGGACCCGGTCTGAGGTGCTGGACTATGAGCAATGCCATGATCGATTATAAACCCTCTCCACCAACAAAACTTCTCCTGAAGTTTTGGCAAGGAGACATAAGCACGCTGTTCTGTATCAGCAGCATCAAACAGCAGCTAGGTCACAACATAAACCAGAAAGAGCCGAACACAGCGGCATTATTCAAACGGCCAAAGTGAGGTCTCAATTCACAAGTGGAAAGTGATTAAAGTATATGTAAGCCAACAGGCCAGCTCCCAGATGAATGCACCGCACAGTAGGCAATTAAGTAGTTCATCTGAATGACAGAGATTATTTTTCTAAGAGAAAAGTAATGGGAGGAGGCTCTGGGTACTCTGCTACATGGTGGTTTGAACTCCCACACCGAAACTCATTAGGGAGGGTTTATTAAGGGCCTGTTAGTCCCATTAAAGACTCAATTAAATGTAGCACACGAAATCTATTCAAACCAAGCACATAACAACAAGACAGGTCAAAAACTCACAACCCGCAGCAAATATAAACCTTAGAAAGACTCCAGCACTATCAGCTGAGCTCTCTCTTCTCTGGTTCCCCTCCAGCGTGTGGCCACAAAAAGGTGGGGGGGAGCCTTTTTCAGTCAAAAAAGGCTGTTTGAATTGTCATTTCAACTCCTGTTTGAATTGTCATTGCTGACAGGTAACTAGAGTCCTAAAATAATACAAACTCGCCGTGTCCTTATCTAGAGTTTAATACTAAAGTAAGGTGCTGGCCCCTAAAATCCCAGGCAGTCCTAAATGCATCCTTAGAAATGAGTGTCTGATACCCGCTGTCACTCCCTGGGGGAGTCCCGGTGACCTCAAAACTTTGTCTGCTTCCAGCAGTGCCTACCCAAAGCATCAAAGACAAAGTTTAAGCAACATATGAGGGAGGTAATTAATACAGAGAGGTTGAATGGCTGGCCTAAAACCACTTAGAAAAAGCACAGCATCCTAACCCTGCCCTGCTCTTTGCTGGTAAGAGCACTGTTACCTCCTGTTAGCTTTTAAATTAGGTATAAAAGTGCTTTGGCTGGTCACGCCTTGATTCTGACCCCAGCCAGCCTGATTAAATAGTGTAACGACCCAGCGAAAAGGCCAGTATATTTTATTACATTGCAATATTTAATTGGGAAGTCAAGTAAATGCCTGATTAAACACTTAAATAATTAAATTTTATCTCAAGGTGGAATGCAGTTCACAGCACTTGGAGAGGAAGCCAGCAGACAGCAATTGGAGAGGAAGGGCTGGTTTTCCCCCTCGTGCTAGAATAGTTTGGAAAAAAGTTGTGGAAACTCTCACTTGCGTTATACAGCAACGAGCACGTGCACAAGGCTTTGCCTCCAAGAGCTCCCAACCAGGATGGCCAAAGCTCTCCACATCTCATCGACAGGGATGCCAGGATGCGGCCACCCCAAAGGCAGAGGGATGCTCAGGACCCCTCTCTGTTGCCTGTCCCCAAAGCTCCCTTGTCCTCAGGTGCTGGCAGAGGGCAAGCAGTCGATGGGAAAACAGGACTTCCACCTGGGGCAGAATTGCTGTGGTTTCAGGACACCAAGCCAACAAACAAGTTGGGGTTTGAGCCCACACGTGCTGTCAGACATCACCTCCCTCTCACCTGAGGCGAGTTTGATTTCTAGGGCAGTGCGGATCAAGGCCATCAGCGTGGACGTGAAGTGGACTGTTAAATCTTCAGGCGAGATCGGCATGTTCATCCGCACCAGGCGCTGGAGAGAGAAACGCGGTCGCTGTGAGCGTGGGTCAGAATTCCTCCCCCCTCCCTTCCCTCCCCCTCTGCGAGCCCTTAGAAACAGCCAGATTACAAACATGTGTTAACTTTTCGTGCACTGAGCTAAAATGCATCTTTTCCGTATAAATGTCAGCTCCTTTTCAGGAGCAGGTCTGAGCTGTAACGGTGGCTTTAGCAGTTAAACAATTGCTTTGCCAGCATTTGTACTGCAATCCTACCAAGAGAGTTCTTCCAAAAAGAGCCAGTTTGAATGTTCTCATCCCATCTCACAGCCTCGTACCCTGCTCCTGACAGTCTCCAACTACGTCTGCAGCCTCCAGATGTGTGGCTGGTACCCGTCACCCCTGCCAAAGCAGCATGCTCAGGAGCTATAAACCATGAAGCCACCTCTGCCATCCTTCCCTAC